AAGTAAATTAGCTTTTGGACATAAACTCCAAGTTGTGGCTCCTCATGAAATTGAAACCCTCCTCAGAGTTTCACCTCCTCCCCACCTGACAGATGTCTCTCAAACATGAGGATTGTACAATACCACATCCTTTTGCTTAACTCTGATCTTATTGAATTCAAGGGGACTACTGTCTTAAACCCAGCAATCCCACTGCCAGATGATGATCCACAGGTACCCATCCATGAATGCTTGGACTTGCTCTGTACCACTGCCAGTCTTTGTCAAGACCTTACTGATCTTTTAGAAAACTCGGATGTTGAATATCTCACCAGTGGTAGCAGCTTCCTTTTTAGAGGTAAACAGGTGGCAGGGGTAACTGTAACCATTCTAATTTGGGCCCAACCCCTGGATCAAGGCACCTCCACTCAAAGGGCCGAACTCATTGCTCTCATGGAGGCCCTAAAGTTGGCTAAGGATCTAAGGGTAACTATCTATGCGGATAGTAGTTACGCATCTGCTACAGTTCACGTAGATGGGGCAATCTACTAAGACAGGGGAACTCCTAACCTCTACTGGCTCAAAGATTAAGAATGCTCCTTTTATCCTGAACTTGTTAGCCGATTTCTGGCTTCTCCAAATCTGTAATAGTGGTGCACTACAGGGGCCACCAAGGGGGAAAAGATCCAATCTTGACAGGTCAGCCTATGGCCCATTTGCTGCCAGTTTTGCCACTCCCTTGTTTGCCCCAATTGGTGTATTCCACGTCAAATCAAGAGCTAGTTAGACAACTGAGAGCAAAACAAGAGCCCCTCAAAATTGGTTTCAATTGCTAGACAAAGGAATTTTAATACCTGTTCTCTTAGGAAGAGACTTGATTCTTCAAATCCACCAGGCCTCACATCTAGAAGGCTCAAAACTGGCCGAGTTTCTTTGGAATAGTTACTTCATTCCTAAGCTAACTCAATTAACAAAGGAAGTCAGTCAAAGATGCCCACAATGTCTACAAGTAAATACCAAAGTCACCATTATCTCAGAGGAAATTCAATACCAGGGAACTTTTCCAGAAGAACACTGGAAATTGACTTCATGGACGAGAGAAAGCTAGAATTACATGGACATCAATATTTGTGGTTTTGGTTGATACTTTCACAGGTTGGACTGAGGGATATGCAATAAAGACTGAATCTGCCTCAATTGTTGTCAAAAACCTTTTCTATGAAATAATTCCTAGATTTGGCCTTTCCTTATCTCTGGGATCCAATGGTCTGGCTTTCATAGCTTCCATCACTAATAAAGTTGCTCAGTTACTACAGATTGATTGGAAATTTCACTGTGCCTAACATTCCCAAAGTTCAGGTCACACTGAAAGAATAAACTGGAACTCTAAAAGAGATGCTTAGCAAATTGATTTTAAAATCTGACGAAAACTGAGTGACCCCTTCCTTTTGCCCTCGTGTGTGCATTGTACTCCATATATAAATAACCCCTTTTGAGGCAGTCTCTGAGAGACCGCCATCTCTTGTCCCCCGCCTTGATAGTACTCATTTGGCAGAGGCTTAATTAAACCACAGTTTAATTAAGTCCCTACAGGCTCTTCAACTTGTGCTGACCTCCAACCGCCAACTCTTCTGAGACCACCAAGCCAAATCTTTGCCCATACCAGTATCTCCACTTGTTGCTAATCCAGGAGATCAAGTCCTATTTAAGCACTGTTCCTGCAACTTGTCTCTTGAACCTTGCTGGATTGGACCATAAACCATTGTCCTCAGCACCTCAGCATCTCAAAGTAGCAGGAAAACTTACCTGGCTACATCACTCACACATCAAGGTCCTCCCTCCAGATACCCAGGATACATATAAGTGGACTGTTACTTAGACTGAACACCCTCTAAGACTCAAACTGTCAAAATATTCTTGATAATGATGGTTTTTCTCTTGCTTGTTGGGAAATGGCTGCTTTGTCTCTTGAACATGAGACATCCTTACCTTAAAATATTCGAGGTAAAAAAAACTTGTGTCAGATCTGCTGCTTATAACCTTGATTCTAGACCCTATGCAAACTTATGGTCTGACTCTACTGTAGTAACTAATGTCTGTTACCCACCAAGTGAATACCTGTAAGCCCCTACAGGATCTTGGTTTGCTTGTACTTCAGGTTTAACTCCCTTGTATCATGCTTGATATATTTACTAGGCATATAAACTAGGTATTATTGCACATGTATTTCCCCAAGTTTACTAGTATTCTGGCACTAGTGGAAGAAAACACTTAAATTTAGAATCTGACTTCTTTAGGACAAGCTCGAGCAGTCCCTGTTACTACAAGTTTTATGAGACTAGATCTCTCTGAAGCCACAGCATTGGGAGCTAAAGCTTAATAATTGGTGATCAAACTACCAAGAACTAAGTACCCTAATAGACAAAGGTTTGGCAACACTAAAACATTCTGTATCCAAATTAGAAGAATCCCTAGGGTCTCTAGGACAGAAATGGTTCTCTAAAACCGTAAAGGCCTAGACCTATTGTTCATAAAAAAGGTGGTTTATGTGTAGCCTTAGGAGAGGCTTGCTATTTCTATGCCTATCACTCTGAAGTCATACAAGATTACATAAACAACTTAAAAAAGAGACTCCATGAGTGAGAGCAGCATGGACAAACTGACCGGAATTTCAAAATCTGTTCTCACTATCCCCTTGGCTGACTACCCTGCACTCTGCTCTAATAGGACCAATAGTTTTCTTTTTACCTCCCATAACCATCATGCCATACATTATAAAATGCCTTCTAAACCACATCCAGGACCAACTTCAAGCCGTTAAAATATTCATACTTAGTCAAGAAAGATATAACTAGTTACCTACACATGATTATGCAACAGTCAAAGATTTGCCTCAGTGACCAAAAGCAGTGGGGAATGTTATAAGCTAAAAAACCCAAAATGTGCCATTCTCTTCTATAAAACTTGTGTAATTGTAAGTTAACTTGCAACTTGGTAACATACCCACCATGTAACCAACCTTGCCTCTCTGGTTCCTTTTATAGGGACAAACCGATCATAATACTTTGACATCTCCCCTTGTGGCATTCCAGTCATAAAGTATCTCCTTGCAGTTCCTAATTCAGGAGCACAATTCCCTGGTTGCTCTTCTGGGACAGTGTTGCTGCTGAGCTCAGCTAATAAAGCACTGCTTTTCAATTTTTAGACTCAGTCATTTTTCTGTCCATAACAAATAGCATCATAATACTAACTTAAAAATATGCAAGTCTGTATGACTAATAAAGAAGATAGATAAACCCAGAAAAGATATAAAAAACTAGGGTGAAAATCTTAGAAAAACCTAGCAAGAGGCACTGTGACAGTCCATTGGTGACTAAGTTTACTGTTACTTTTGTGAATGCTTACAATTATCTCAATCAGGAGGCTGAGACAGAATTTGAAACCAGACTGTGCAATATAGTTCAAAGACTGTCTGAACTACATAGCAAGACTTTGTCTCAAAAATAAATAAATAAATAAATAAATATTTTTTAAAATGAAAAAAAAAAAAAAAATGAAACCTAAGACGAGCATGAGCAGTATGCACCAAAACTCTAAAAGCGGAATTTTGTATCCTCATTTACCTGGATCCCATACCAGCAGGTAAACACTTTTATGTTCATTTTTGGTTTTAAAACCAACATTCAAGTCAGCCTGGTGGCACACACCTATAATCTTAGCACTTGGGAGGCTGAGGTGGGACTACTGTGTCTTATGACCAGCCTGAGTTATGAAGTGAGCTCAGGGAAAGCCTTAATTGCAATGAGACCCTGTTGTTTAAAAAAAAAGGCCCAAACCTTCCTCTTTTCCTCACAGTCTCAACCTTTACAAGAGTTTCTGATCATCCTTTTAAATGCCCATGTTTAGGGTTTTTTGTTTTTGTTTTTGTTTCCAAATTATGGTTAATACCCTGGCCGTATAAATGCAAAATTGAGCTAATAAAAAACAGCTGCTCGTAAGTTATACCCTGTGAAAATCTGTGACAATTTACAGTATAAACTGAAATAAAGTATGTTGATATCGATCACTGAACCACCACCAGAACCTGTACATTTGTATACTGTGGTGAGCATTCCATGAGAATACTACAGAAATGCAAAAATGAGCTAAATCTAAGCATATTCCTTTATACTCTCTAAAGCACAATATACCAAGTATTATCTATAGTAGAGGGACTGCATATGAGTATAGGCAGATGGTCAATATAACTGAACATAACCAGATTACAGTGCAACAGTTTCAGGTTATAAATGGGGTGCAGAATGCATTCTGTAATTCATGAACAACACCCAAAATAACTATAAAAGTAGTTTCGCATGGTTATGAACACCTATAATTTGAGTACTCTTGAGACCTGAAGTAGAACTGCAAGTGAGATCACAGCCCATGCAACTTAGTAAATTGACATAATCTTTTCTCAGAGTAAAAAAGCAAGAAAAGACTCAGAGTTTATTTCCCAGTACTGCAAAATCAACCAATCAATCAAGCAACCAACCAACCAACTAAACAACCAACAAAGCAACACCCCTCAAAATACAACACAAAACAAAAATCACAATAAAAGACTGGAACAAAAGATACTGTACTATATTGGACCAATAATTTAAGTGATTTGCATTTCTTTAGACTAAAGAACATACTTTATGGACTAGTATGTAACAAGTAGAAATAAATCATATCAAATAGATATATGTTAGAGTGTTAAAGAATGGACCCCTGAAATAAATGCTTTAGTATTCAATAATTTGATGACTTTATACTTACTACAAGTCTGATTGATTACACTAGAAAATTTTTTTCAATGTTAATGTCTTAATTTTCTTTTTCTAAATCTTCAGTAAGACCAACAACAAAATCTTCAAATGCATAAAACTTGATGTCTAAAATGCTGAATTCATGTCATGACAAGAAAAACTTTTAATGTATGGGTCTGTAAGAACATAATATAGTAATAAAGAACAAAAACACACCACATGACAAAATATCTTCTTAAATTCTATTTATGAATTCAGTAAAATAATTGCTACAAAAACAAAACAGCAAAATATTTAAATAGTGTAGGATGTGAAGTATCTGTTCGCAGGAATATTGAGTTTTTACACAGCTTCCAAAATATTACATATATTCAAAAACTATCAGTTGTCCTTTAAATACAGTAGTAAGGGTTTCCTGGAATTTTTACAAAAACGTTGAATCTAAAATGATACCTTAGAATTACATTCAGCTTTGAAATCGTAAATCTATCAATTAGAATTTTGAAATAATGGAAAAAGAATTAGGGCAATTCTTGCTTTCAGAGAAAACTCTAAAAATTCATCCAGTCATGCTATTTCAAAGTATAGATTCTGGTGATATCCATTTAAATGAACTCAGTAAAAGTTTTAGAAGTTTTAATTAACAAATTCTAAGAAAAATTAAACAAAGTATACCAAATACAGATTTGTTTTAGGTTTTATACATTTTTGGCATAGGAAAATTTTACGTATTTTTTTTGTACTGGAAATTGAACTCAGGACCTTAGGTATGCAAAGGCAGGGCTGTGCTACTAAGCCATATATCCCTCCCCTACAAAAATGTTTTAATATTTTAAAATTCCTATTACTAACACTTTGATATTCTTTATTTCCTGAAGATAGAACTATCAATCATGAAGCATAAAAAATTTAAAATGTGCAACTAGAAACACCTTGTCATATTTCTCTCCATATCTTACGTATAAGGAATAAAAATTTTGAGCAATATAGTTATCATTTTGGGATACTACTATTATACAGGTAATTCTGCCCTTCGGTAATAGGTACCAGGCATGAAACCATGTTAAATACTTCTAAGTATAGATTTGAATTAATCAAATATCAGAATAAAAAATAATAAAAATATCTATAAAAGGTTGTATCTCTAAATTTCTACATCAACAATGCAATTTAAAGGTCACCTGTTTACATATTTAATAACAACAGTAAACTATTGATGTAATTGACTTGGATAGGTTCTCTAATATTTCTTTTTATTTACTGGGAATAATACAATTGATCTGCCAGGAAGCAGGCAATATTATTAAATATAGCGGATGTTAGTAAGACAATTAACTGTAATGTTATTATAGACTTCTGATTTTTCAAAACAAAAAGTTTCTTACTTAAGAATAAACAGTGAAGGGCTAAAGATATAGCTCAGCAACATAAACACGTACCTGGCAAGTGCAAGGTCCTGAGTTCAATTTCTGATAATCATTCCAAAAAAAGAATAAACAGAAAAAACATGTCCACCTTTTCCATTTATATATTATCAGAAGTTTATTACAAAATTTTATACATTTTGTGACTTTCTTTTACTCACAGTGGATTTCTACAAATGAGACAGTGAATAATATACTCTTACTTCCATGTTGCTTTGTAAGTTTTTCTAGTTTTAAATACAGAAGAAGTTTGAATCCAATGCATAGGCTTTTGCCAGTTAGCTATGTGCAGTTCACTGATTCTTTATTTGAGGTGAGGGTACTTCTTCACTGCCTTTGTAATTTTCTTGTACTTGTTGGCCACTTTTTTCAAGGCTGTTCAAGTAACGTGTTGCTGAACCTATATATGGCTGTTCAGGTACATGATTACTCTGAGAGGATGAAATAGATCTACAAGTCAAACTTTTTGTATATTACCCTTACAATTTTAAATCACAGGGCTGGGGATATAGTTCAGTACTGAGTTTGAATCCTGATACCCAAACAAACAGATAAACCAACCAAGCAAAACAAAAAATGTTGGTTCTGAAGACTGAACCTATGTAGCCTTTGCAATATATTATACTGTTATTCATTTTTAAACTTTGAGATGGGTTTCATAAATAGAAGATCTACCCAATTTAGCCTTTAACTCATGAACCTCCATGCATAGCCCTGGGTTTAGTCCTCACAAGACTGGAGGAAAAAAACTTACAAAAATTTATTCCTATATCATAGGTCAACATGTATTATATGAGAAATAATATAATATATAATTAATTTTACCTTTACAGAAAAAATGTTTAGGAGTTTTTTCTTTTAAATCACCATTTACTATGCTAACACAAACAGGTATTTAGTTTTCAACCACTTGCATCAGCATTAGTTGGAAACTTATCAGAAATAATAATTCTTTTTTGGGAAGGGAAGTGGATAAGCCAGGATTTTGTTAATTCAAAATTTTGTTAATTCAGGCTGGTTTTAAATTTCTATGAGACCAGCTTCACACCTGTGTAATCTAGCATTGGGGTTTAGGCAAGGTTCAGGCTGCAAAAATCTAGGCCACTCTGAACTACACAAGACCCTGTCACAAAACAAAACAAAACAAAACATAAAACATTCCCAGTTGGCCCTAAAACTTTTGATCCTCTTGCGTCACTTTCCCTGCGCTACAATAATCATAGGAGTATGCTATCCAGGTTGGTTAGAAATGTACTCTTTTTTTGGAGGAGGGGGTTAATGCCAACTGCTAAACTTTCTGGGCTAGGCTTTAATTTGTCATTCCTCTGCCTCAACCTGCTAGAGTCCTAGGATTATAAACATGAACAACCACGTCCAGTTTGCAATACAAATTCTTAGATATACCCATGGGTTTAATCAGAAAGGTTGGGTTATGAGATCAAGCAAATTCTGTTCTGAATTAGTCATAATTCTGGCACGTTACAATAATTTTTACAGAACTCCTTCCTACCCAATACCAATTTAAATTCTTTTTTTTTTTTTTTTTTGTCTTTTTCCTTTTTACCGGTACCGGGAATCGAACTCATGACTGCCTGCTTGCAAGGCAGGCACTTATGCGGCTGAGCTAAATCCCCAGCCCCCCAATTTAAATTCTTAAAATGTCTTCATTTCATCGGGGCATGGTGGTTCACACCTGTATATCCAGCACTCGGGAGGCTGAGGCAGGAAGACCATTGCGAGTTCGAGACCAGCCTGGGCTACAAAGTTGAGTTCAAGCCCAGTGTGAACCGCATAGAGATATCTTCTCTCAAAAAAAAAAAAAAAAAAAAGTCTTCATTTGTACACATGCAGACACACATTTATTTTTATTTTTAGAGATAGAGTCTCATTGTGCAGTTCACATTGGGCTTGAACTTATGGGGTTTCTCCTGTCCAAAACAAGTGCTGGGATTACAAAGAAGCACCACCACACTTGGCTCTGCATTTATATTTTCTCTCTGTTGTTTTCCTTTAAAGTACCTACTGAAAATAAATCTCTGATGTTTAAAAAGCATTTTACTGCTACTGAATCTCTGGACTAAGTAATCAAGATTTATGTTAATTTTATTAACTATGGCTTCCAGCATTAGGTTGTCTACTGGATAAAGAAAATATCATAGGGTTAGATAATACTGCATTATGATTCCATTTTAACTACTCTTCTGATCACCTTTCAAAACCATTCTTTTTTCTTTTCTTTTTTTTTTTTTTTTTGGTCTTTTTTCATTTTTATGGGTACCAGGGATCGAACTCACGACCGCCTGCTTGCAAGACAGGTGCTTATGCCGCTGAGTTAAACCCCCAGCCCCCAAAACCATTCTTGATAACTTAGTGCGTATGGTCATATATGTCTCAAATGCTTACAGTAAAAAAAATGCCTTTATAAGAAGGCATAAAAATTGGTTTCAGTGACAAAAATGAAAACAACTGCATTTACCTGTTGAAACTGAGATCCAGGTGAATGATACAGTGATACAATTTCTAGTGGAGATGACTCATCTTCATCTGGGGCATCTTGGCCATCTGAATCCTATTTAAAATTTGAACAGATTGAGAATGTGATTATGACAGTAAATTCAAATTTATTTCTAATCTCATCAGTTTTTTTTTATTGTTGTTGAGGCAGAGTTTCATAAAATAGTTTTACAATATAAACTGGCTTCAAACTTAATCCTTCTGTCTCAATTTCTTTTGAGTGTTGGGATTTATGGGTGTGTACCACCACACTAACTTAATCTAAATTAAAAAAATTTTTTTTAAATTCACAAACTCAAATGTGGCAGCAAACTACATACTGAATTCAAGGCCACGCCAAACTACATGATGAAATGATCTCAAAAACGGGGGTGAGGGCAGCTGGTGATTTAGCTCAACGGTATAAGAGCCTGCCTGGCAAGTGTAAAGTCATGAGTTTAATCTCTAGGACCAGGAGGAAAAAAAAAAAAATTGACATTTAATCTTTCCATTTTCAAATGATACAGTACTTTACTGAAAGAAAACCTTGAGTACTTTTTTTTAATAGTAGGACCATGTGCAACTAGAATGTGCAGGACATTTTAGTTTCTAGGTAAGGCTGGATTAGAACTTGAGATGCTGATGCTTCAGCCTCCCAGAATGCTGGAATTACAGCTGTACCACCAAAGCAGCTCAGATATATGATTTTTTATAAAACTTCGTGTAAGGCTTTTAAAAAATAAATTACATGGTCAACTTAAGAGCAAACTAATCAATGTTAACTCACAAAGCAAGCAAAACTATTTTTTTTTGAAAAATAATCACTAATACATAAAAACTGGTTTATAAAATAATGTATTTCTACCTGCTGTCATTAGATTTTTTTTTTTACCTCTTCTGGACAGAGTTCACATGCTTTTGCAAGTGTCATCCTAGCACTGTGTGATCTTTCTAAGAAATAACCATTTGATGTTTCATTGCTTTGTGCTGGAGGAGACCAGTTATCATAAGAGTACTGAGAATTGCCAGCGTATGATCGACTTTCAAGTTCACCTCCAAGCCATTCCAGAGCCCAGGTCCACTTTCTCTTAAGATCACCATTACCCTTTAAAAGAAAATAGAACTATGTTAAAAAAAAAAATTAAGAATTTTCAGTGTTAGCTTAAAATGACAACTCCCAAATTTTTGTTATTTACTTTTAAAATTCTGACCCAACATTCTGTAAGATCTCTCACCTGCAAGATTTCATAAGCAACAGGACAACTGTTAAAAAGAGCAACCATACATTTTATACATTGATATGCTCTTTTTTGATAGTGATTCTTAGAGTGCTGGATTGTATCAAAAAGCCCATCTTGGTCATCTGGAATTCCTTTAAGAACATTATGAATTCTAAAAAAAAAGAGAGAACCAGAAACAATTTATAATATTTAAAAGAAACTAACATTCAAGTGCCTCTTGTGTGTCACCCTATATATTCTTATAATCACTTTCTGAAATAGGCAGCATTAGTAAACTTCATTACAAAATGAGAAAAAAGTTACACAGGTTAAATATCTCACAAAACATTTAAAAATGTAAGAGAAGGAGCTGGCTTATACTCTAATTTAAAGATCTGACCTTCTGTCAAATTATTAATTCAAAGGAATTTTGCTAACTGAGGTGGTGGCACATGCTGTAGTTACAGCTACTCGGGAGGCTGGCAGGAGGACTGAAAATTTGGGGCCATCTTGATACTTACTGAAACTCTATCATAAAAATTTAAAAAGAAAAAAGGAACAAGGATATATAGGTGTATACAAAGGCCCTGGGTTCAGCTCTTACTACCTCACATGCACAGATGTACACACAGAGGCACAAAACCAAAAATCAATAAAGATAGATTTTTCTATATTAAAGTTAAGTGCCGGGTAGAGGATTTAGCTCAGTGGTGTAAGTGCCCAACTGGCAAGCACTAGTTCATGAGTTCACCCCTGGTATAAAAACAAAACAGCAGCAGTAAAAAACAAACAAAAAAGTTAAATGCCTTCTTAAAACTCACCATGTTCCTTTTCTTCAAGGCTACTTTAGGTGGAGATAATGGAATAATTTTCTCACAGTTGGTTAATTTTTTGTTTAAGATTTCTTTTTAGAATGCACAGTTAGGAATTAAGTAGCCAAAAGATAAAAATAGTGAAAGCAGTAAAAAATTAACTTGAATTCTAACAGTAACAATATATTTATGATAGGTATATACTTTCATTAACAAAACCACAATCTGGATGACTTATTAATGAAAAAATTTTACATCATATACTAAAATAGTCCCATTATATTCTAACCCAAAACATAAGTTTTTTTTCCATGGGAAACTAATTTAAGTCTATTTGAAAATTGGAATTATTTAGAGTTTAACTACTTCTGACAAAAAATAATGTGTTTATGAACAGACTGTCTCACTCAGTTTCATGTTTCTGGAAATACCAAGTGCTTTATAAAATATTTGTTGAATATAGTTACTGAATAACTTAAATTTTAGATAAAATATTTAATGCAATACTTTACTGATAACTTGTGCATAAAAGTCCACTATTCTTTATGCTAATTCAACACTATTTTTTAAATTTTAAAATGGAAAGAGAATAAAAACAATACAGAATTTCAAAGCAAAACGGATTTTCACTGATTAATATATTGCACATGATCTTTAATTTTGGCATTTTGAAAACATGGAGTGGAGACAGAACTCAGGGCTGCATGCATGTTAGGCAAGAGCTCCATCACTAGCTAATTCAAACATCATCATTTAGTTGGATAAAACAATGACAAGATGGGATTAAAGCAAATATCTGAAGTTTTATAAACAAAAGCAAGTAAGTTTCAATAAAACAAAAACATAATTTTAAAAAACATCTAAATCTAAGTGTTGAAATATTATGGAAAATAATTTCAAAAATGAAGTTTAAGATTCAAAAAAAATTTTTGTCGTATCTATGAGCTGCTGATCAAAGACATGTTTTTACAATCTATATGGGACACTGCATGACTATATTATCATTGCTTCATAATTTGCAGTGACCTAGGGTATCCTTGAACTTTATGGTCCTCTTGCTTCAGTGTTCTAAATGTGGAATTATAGTGTAAGAATGGGAATCATGTAAGTGTGGTGGCATAAATCTATATTCTAGCATTCAAGAGGTTGAGGCAGGAGGATCATCATGAATTCAAGACCAGTCTGAACTACTTAGCAAGACATTGTTTCAAATAGAGGGCCAATGTAATTTTTACTTTTATTTATCCCATTTAAATTTTTATGATGTTTGAGGAGAAAAATGGCAAGCGTGGTGCGTGCCAGGAACTCTTCTTCTCCAGGACAAAGTGCTGAGATTCTTGAAAACAATAACCTACTGAGGAACCAAAGCATTTAAGAGTAGAGGGCACATAGGAACAACAAGAGAACTGACAAAAAAAACCAAAACAAAACAAAAAAAAAAAACACAAAGCATTGCTACTGAAGAAGCTACCAATAGCAGAGACCAACAAGTAGGAAGGCAGAGAAAAAAAACTCTGTAGCTCACTGAGCAATGGAGACCTGACTTGTGTCAAAAAAAGCCTAGGCAATCAGAGACAGTGATGAGAACACAAGACACTTTTCTGAGATTCCCCACAACTGAGTCTGCAGGAAGCTAGACTGATGTCTAACAGAGCGCGCAGGTGGAGGTTGCCACGTCATTTCAAAGGGCTTGGGGCTTGAACTTCAGCAGCAGAACAAGGACAGGTTCAATTCACTACAAGTGTCTAGGGAAGGGTGTTACCAGTTACAGTCCATTGCTGACAGGTGGACAGTAGGATAGGGGAATTGAAGTAGGAGCCAAGACCACCCAGACTTCTTTCTGGTGGTCACCAATTGCTACTCTTAGTTTTTGCTATGAAAAACTACATGTGACCCGCTTTTGTCTGCAGTGGAAAAGTGGGACTTCCATAGCCTTATAACCAACACTTGAGAGGTGTTAGTAGAGGGGACCAAGATCAGCCCTGCAATAGCTTCAATTCCTACGGTAAATTTAATAGTGTTACTCAATACAGATTCTGGTTCTGACTATGGAAACAACACAGAACTGGAGTCACTAGAGAAATATGTTTTGTTTTGTTTTCTTTTTTTCAGGGAGGGTGTTGTTTAGGTTTTGACTTTTACTTTTTTTTGGTATGTCTGTCTTAGTTCTCTCTTTTCTTTCTTTTTCTCTGGTATTTTCATGTCAAAAGTAGGGGTTGGGGGTTTAGCTTAGTGGCTTAAGCATCTGCTTGGCAATAGAAGGTCATGAGTTCAATCCCCAGTACCCTCCCATAAAAGGGGAGGGGAATAATTCAGAGTTGAGTAAGAACTCAAGATACAAGATTAATATAACTGTATTTTTATGTCTAAAGTATTTTTGGCTCACTTAAGATACTGTTTTATTTTCTCTTTCATTCATTCTCCCCTGTTTTCTTTTCTACTTTCCCAAATTGGGTGATCATCTTTGTCCTTCAGCCCTGCTTTTACTATGTTTCTCTTTTGTTATCACTCTGATTTGTACCCTATCTCTCTTTTTTTCTCTTTCCCCACAGGATAAAACACTACCAAAAAAATTCACTACATACAAATTTCTGGTTTATGCTGAATGCTTATTCCTATGGTTAGGTCTTGTTCCTATGCATACCAATTTAGTACTTACCACAGTTTGTCAGTTTGTAGTTGCACTACATTACTGCCAGTTGTACTACATAAGCCAGAATAACACACATGTTATGCTTAATTATTCACTCTTGAATGACAATACTGTGATAGTCTGAAGGCCTAACCTTTCCCATAATCCAGTGCCAAAGGACTGGGGTACTGAGACAAATAGCAACTTGTGACCACTAACAAAATAGGAAAATAAGGCCTTGAGAAAGACACAAAGATCAATAGTCAGATACAGCATGGAGCTATCTGGGAGGAACAGACCTTTCCTAGGAAATCTTAAAAACCAGTAATAAAGTACCTAGCATAAGAAAATATGCAAGCAAACACCCCCCCCCAAAAAAAAAACAAAAAAGAAAAAATACAGAAAATAAAAAGACTAACAGAAAAGCAGCCCAGTAGGACTTTGAGTCCAATAGGGTAAATCCAGAAGATAAAGGAAATCAGAGGCCACTTATCTGAATTTTCTGAAATGACCACAGAAATGGGAAACAAAAAACAAACAAACAAAAACCCTATAAAGCTATAACAGAAATCAGAATAGAATCAATTTCTCATTTCAGATAAATAAAAAGGAAAATGATGACTTTAATGAAGAACTTTCTCAGCAAATCTATAGATAGATAAAAACAGAGGAACACAAGAAAATGATGGAAACCATGAAAGCCCAATATAAAAACAAATGAAATCCATGAAACACACTAAAACAAATACACAGGAAATTAAAAATTTCACTGAAAATTTGCAAAATCCAACGAATAAAAGTGAAAACAATACCAAACTTACAACACAGGATCAAGGTTAGTGATTACAAAAAGAAAAATTTCTTTTTGTAATCACTTTCAGGGTCCCCCAACAAGGGACCCTGAAAAAACAACCCAACAGCTGCAAGATGATGCCAAGAAGAACATTAAGACTGACTGAACTCAGTGGAAAAAGCTGGAGTCAGCACAGCCAACATAAAAGATTTATTCACAGAACTAATAGGAACAACCTTGCCAAGCATGAAAAAAGAAGCTGACATATAGGTACCTAAAGCATTCAGAACTCCAATTAATTATGACCAAAGCAATCTATACCAAGGCAAATAATACTCAAGATTCTAGAAATTCAGCACAAGAACAGAGCATCAAAAGCTGTTAGAGAAAACACACCATTGACCTTTAAAGGAAAGCCCATCAGAATCACGGCAGTCTTCTCAACATAAACCACTAAGTCAAGGTAAGCTTGAGGGCCCCAAATCCTTAAAGAAAGTAACTTTCAAGCCAGACAGATGTATTCTGTAAAACTATATTTCAAAAATTGTTTTTTAAATTTTAAAGAGAGTAAAATTAAACAGAACAAAACAGATCATAAGGAAACAATTTTAAGAAACACAGATTTCAAAGCAAGACCACTGGAGATCTTCACTGTCTATCATACTGTCTCTCGTTTTCTTTCATATAGTTATCCACATCTTCACATACAGTGAATACATATTGAACAATAGTACTAAACTAATCAGAACAGGATGATGAAGGCATTTTAGGTCTTCAAGACCAGACAATCGGGAAGTCAATAATGGCTGCCATAATGTTTCTCATTCTCTTTGAAATAGCTGTCCGTATCTTTACGTATGTTGAAATTAAAATTGGAGACTAGACTAATATCACTATGAATAGTGAATAATAGTATTGCTAGATTTTATATCATA